GAAAAAATTGAAATCAAAGGAAACAAATGTATATTTATTTATTTAGTATCTCCTTGTAATGCTGTTGCAAACTAACCTTTTTGTTCAGAGTGAGATTTTTCCTGACAAAAATGTTACAAAATGCCAGTTTCAGTTGTTTTGGAACGCAGTAACACAACTCCAACCAGGGGTTTGAATAAACAGAATTTCTCACCAGCATGGTAGTTTTTACGATGTGTGGTTTGCATGATGGCAGGTTGTGTTATTCAAGTCGACCTCTCTCCCATCTTGTTATTGTGGTCACGTAGGTAGAAACCTAGTCATTGTAGCACTATAAACATCTTCCTGAATCTCAGGAAGATGTCTGTATGTGTACACAAACACACTCCATTGTGCAAATCGCACAGGTGGCCAAAGAAAACAGATTGCTTGCATGAAAGCAACTGCCTATTGCTTTGTCACATGAAACTGCACAAAGTTTTGGATTTTGGCATCAATAGGAACAGTCTGAGTTATTTAGTAGGAAACTTAACTATTTTCTTCTTTGCAGTTAGCAGAAGACAGGACTGACTGCTCCCTTGCTTTGTAGTGTTTACTGTGATCTACTTCTTAGTTCATACGTATAAAACGGCCTGTAAAAGTAACACCAAGTGAAAGTGTAAAACGTACGTCTGCCTAAAGCAGGGTTGTTTGACACCTCAAACTCTTTGGCTTCTTTGTTTCTACTAACCATTGCAAATGTTTGTGAAATGAATACTGAGGCTGAGCAAGTTCAACTCTGCTCACAAGCCCCACCAAGTGGACAAAATGTTTACTACTCCGTGTTTTGGGAAGAAGTCAAAATCTATTTTCTTTCAGGATGAGTGTTTTTACCCTTTCACTTCTTCATTTTTTGTCATGTTACATTTGCAGGCTTCTAGGAAATTTTCTTATAGGCCAACACAACGTATTGTGTCATACTGAAATAGAAGAAACATTAGACATCGAAGCATTTAACTGCAATGGATTTAACTGTGCTGAGATCTATTATAAATGCACGTCAAACTGCAGACTTCTTGTTGTTGAAATAAATTTTTTCTACATGTAATTACATAATCAAACCTGCAGATATAAATAACTCTTACATCTAACAGAATGTATGTCGTCTCCTTTGATGAGAGGACAAAACCTTTAAAAACACTTAAAATGTCCTTTATTCCAGGCTAGATTTTCTTATCTATGGCCATATGAGAGATGAGTGAAGAACTGGTTCAGACGATGGTCTGGATTGTTTGGCTGTGTGATTTGTGTCAGTCAAGCTGGGAGTGGGAATGTGTCCTATTTAAATGATCACTGATTCAATTAGAAGTTCAGACAATAGAAAAAATGTGTAGTATTAGGAGTTTCCAACTGATTTCACAGTTATTTCGGTAACACTTTATGTGAAGTGGGTGAATAAGACTGTCATGACACTTTCATAAACATGACATAACACCTGTCAAGAACATGAATAAGCCTTCATGAATATTTATGACTGTTGTCATAAAGTGTCATTCGGCAAATTACGACACTTTTAATACAAAGTTGACATTATTCAAAATGTCTTTAAGACAACTTGACATTAACCAGGAAATCATTACTGTTTAAACTTTACCTTTAATAACATAAAGTTACCTAATTTTTAAAGTGCAATCAGTAATACTTTTATAACAAATTTATATCAGTAATGATTTCCTGGTTAATGTCAAGTTGTCATAACAAAGACATTTTGAATAATGTCAACTTTGTATTAAAAGTGTCATAATTTACCGAATGACGACTTATGACAACAGTCATAAATATTCATGAAGGCTTATTCATGTTTATGACAGTGTTATGTCATGTTTATGACAGTGTCATGTCAGTCTTATTCAACCCCCTTTAAATAAAGTGTTACCGTTATTTCTTGCATGCATCACTAAAGGTGTTAGTGAACATATCAAACTTCTACCCACAAAGTTTCCGTCTGAACTGGTTCAGAGGTTGACTATAAAAGGTGGTGCTGGAGGACTTTAAAGCCACATGCCTTATTGTTTCCCCCCTCTGTACTATCATGATACACACAGGCGCCATTATTTGCATCCTTCTGCTGGCTCCCCTCCCTGGTAAACGCAGTTTTTTTTAATTATATATTTTCTGTGTTTTCTTAATTTATTGTAAGGAAATCTTTTTTTCCTGATTTAAGAATGTCTCCATATGTCAGGCGCTTCTGGGAGCAGCATAGTTGGAGGCAAAGTTTCCAAGCCCCACTCCAGACCCTACATGGCGTCCCTGCAGTACCAAGGAAAACATTCATGTGGTGGGATTCTTATTCAGAAGGATTTTGTCCTTACTGCAGCACACTGCCAGTGAGTATGTTTCCTGTGATACAAAGTTATTTTTATGCAACACATAAAACATAGAATTGTATGGTTGGGATTTTTTTTTTTTTTAAACAGATTAGCGATTAATGATTTTCAATAGTTAATCCCAAACAAAACATAAAAAAAATATTAGTTTTTCCTTTAGTATTTCTTTCTGGGAAAAAGGTTAGCTCTTTTCAAAGTGGTCTTCAATAAAACAGATGAATCTAATTATGTCTTCAGAGCTTCAGGTGTCATGACGGTGGTTCTTGGAGCACATGATCTCAGCAAGAAGGAGAAAAGTCAGCAAAGGATCAAAGTAGCAAAGTTCTGTCCACATTCACGCTTCACTGGAAATTTTGATTTTGACATCATGCTGCTTAGGGTGAGCAAACTGTTGAAAATTCATTTTTGTACATTTATCTTCCATACTCCCCCACATCAAATAGTGTTTATACATTTTAAAGCTTATTTCCTGTAGAAAGAAAAACAAATTCTTGTTCAACACTTTGGTTGTCTGTGGTTATTTTAAACATCCTATTGGACTGTCCCTTGACTGTTTTTGTTTTATTATATATATATATTTTTTTGCATATTAAAACCTGAGTTAACAATATTCACCATTCTCTTTTACAGTTACAAAATAATGCCACAAAGAATAAGTACGTGAAGCCTCTGGACCTGCCCAAGAAAGCCAAAAGCATCTCTGCCAAACTCAGTTGTCTTGTTGCTGGCTGGGGAAAAACTGGACCCAGTGAGCCTGAGTCCAACGTCCTGAAAGAAGGGAAAGAAAAGACTCTGCCCATCACTGAGTGTAAGAATACTTGGGGAGACCATTTCATATCAGAGCAAATGATTTGCACCATATTTAACAAGAAGGATGGAGGAATATGCCAGGTAATGAAATAACGCCACAAATACAGAAGCTCACACAATTGAAATCTTATTCATTTTTATGAATAAGTTTTTGTAAAACTACTTCCTTCCTCTCCTCTCTTTTTCCTAGGGTGATTCTGGTGGACCTCTAATTTGTAAAAACAAGCTGCAAGGCATAACTGCTTTCACTGCCGACGGTCAATGTGACAATTCAGATTATCCTCATGTCTTCACGAACATTAGTTACTTTCTACCGTGGATCAAGAAAATGATGCAGTCTAAATCATTATGCTGAACACGTCTGTACTTTGTTCTTATAACCCAACAGGTGCATTGTTAATGAAATGTAGAAAGGATAATAACAAGTATAGGTTTCAATTGCCTGTATTTTCTAAATTTACAATAAAAACACACTTGTCAGTTATACCTCTTTTCATTAAATTATTTCTTGTGTGTTTTAATTCTCTTTTTGTTGAAGCACTACATGAAGTTATTTGTGCTGATCATTAATAACTTATGGTACTTAAATAGTGGAGGTAATGATGGTCTGAGCCTGTTCTGATGCTTCAGATCCTGGACGACTTAACATACTTCATAGAATCAGGAATTCTGCTCTAGCGAACGACGATGTCCGAAAATCAGTTTATGATCCCCGTTTCAAAAAAATCTTGGGTTCTGCTACAGATTAATGATTCCACATGATCTTAAAAAGGCTGTTTATGTAAAATGAAACTTGAATTTCAAATGTAGCAACAAAATAAGTACTGTTTAGGTTGAAGGACAAATAGAGAAAAAAAATCACTCACTGACATGCGACAGCACAGATTGTGCAGTTGCATATTGTTCACTTTCTTTGCACGAACATCTCTGACACCTGCCCACGAAGTTTCAGCATGCAACGGTTTGGGGGTTGACTCTAGCAAGGTGTGAGGGGAGTCAGCAAAGCAGATGCTCTGTCCTTTCCATCTAAGTAAACATGATACACACAGGTCGCATCGTCTGCATCTTCATGCTGGTCATTCTCACTGGTAAGTCCAACTTTAAATACACTGACATTTTTAAAAGTTTTTTAAAAGTCTTTTTGACAAATCTTCAACACAGAGGCTTCTGAAAGCGGCATCTTCGGAGGTCGCATTTCAAAGCCGCACTCCAGGCCCTACATGGCTTCACTTCAGTACGGAACAGACCACAAGTGCGGCGGCATTCTTATTCGAAAGGACTTTGTTCTAACTGCGGCACACTGCTATGTGTACGTATGTTTAACTGCATCCCTAAGTTCAAAGTTTATGTTAGTCATTTTTCTTACTCTCTGAAGTTAAATTAGAACAAATCTGTCTTGCTTTCGTTCCCAGTACTAAAATTATTTCTATTTTCTAAATGCCAAAAAAGCAAGATTTTTTTGTAACTTTCTTTGAATTCAGAAATGCACCTACATTTATGTATCAGGCATAATTCTCTTTTAAACTATATGTTTTTTGTCAAGCCTTTTCAGTTTCCTTCCATAAGGTTTTCACAAGTTTGTCCTCAGAACTCAGTCAGGTTTGCAGGCTGCCCCATTGGCTCACTCATTTTCACATCTACCCTACTTTCTGGTATTTAGCAAATGGAAATACTGTTGATAATTCTTACTAAGCTAAAACAAGAGAATTTTGGTCTGATTTAATTGTAGACAGTGATAAAAACATTGTGCAATGTTCTATTCAATATATGAAAACTTCTGTCATAATATAAGTACATGCAATATTGGAAATAAAAAAATACTCTAGTTTTTAATGGATTTCCTTCTATTTAACAACTCACTAGTTTATGAAAGTTAATTTAAAATGAAACCGTTTTCTCATTTTTCAGAACTCAAAGTGACCAAGTGGTACTGGGAGCCCATGATATCAGTAAGAAGGAGGAAAGTCAGCAAAGGATCAAAGTGGCAAAGTTCATCAAGCATCCAAATTACAACGGAGGTGTTCACAATGACATTATGTTGCTTAAGGTAAGCTAAGATGGACAAACTGTTTTTTTTAATGTTTATGTTTATGTAGTGTCTTATGGAGTGAATGGAGATGCATCAAAGTAGATTTGAACAACAGTAATTCAATTCAAAAGAGAAACTTATGTGATAGAACTTCCATTACATATAGAGATATGACTATTTTAGCTAATTTTGATGCTTGCAGCTACTGGAGACTCCAAATTTTGACACCATGATTATTAAAACTGGCAGCCGTACTGTTGACAGTATTAACAGCTTTCATGTGTTGCTAGAAAATGAAATAAGCATCTCCACCAAGTTTGTAATAAAGAAAAGGATGAAGTGCTCTAAAACGTTGGAGCCACACCAGCAGATGAAATGGCTCATTGACTGTGAACACTTCATCCTGGAATCTGTGCCTCTTTAACACAACAAATTGGAACCCATGTATGAATATGTCTATCTGCTGGGACTTGAAGCGCTAACTCCAGCTGCAGTCCTTACTTTATGAATGTCCTCTCGTTGTTAAATGGGGTTAGCTTAACAATCCACTAAAACTGTGGTTGCCTGTTGGTTTTGCTTGCTACCGCGTGCAGTCAGTCTTCTCTGTGATTAGCCATAATATGACTACATCCTTGTAAATTGCATGTGTTATATGGCATTCTACTTTGTGCAATGTGACTTTTAAATTTACACCAGATGTAAGCTGTGAGCCACAATTATCAAAATTAACAGAAATAAATGCTTGCAATAGGTCACTCTGCATGATGCATCTAATACTTGACTTTCTGAATCGAGGTACTAAAATAACTGTTATTTATTAAAATGCACCCGTAAAATTGTTTGGTCATTTAAAGCTGCAGTAATGTAACTTTTACAAAAAGATTTTTACATATTTGTTGGAATTATCACTATGTTAGTAAGTCTTTTATAAACTACAAGTAAAATTTTAAAGGTATTGTGTGCTTTCTTTCACAGCTGAAAAACGATGCCAAACTGAATAAAAACGTCCAGCCCATTGAGTTACCAAAGAAAGAAAAGAAAATAAACGCCAACCTTGATTGTCTAGTTGTTGGCTGGGGCAAAACTGGACGAAATGAACCCATTTCCACTGTTCTGAAAGAAGCGACAGAAAAGACACAATTCAAGACTGAGTGTGATAAAATCTGGAAAGAGAATTTCACTGCCCAGCAAATGATTTGCACCAAGTTCAAAAAGAACACGGGAGGAATATGTCAGGTAAATGACCTCGAAGCATTACATCCAGTTCATTAAGACGCAGAAAAACATTTTAAATTGAAAAATGGTGATCTATTTTTCTTTTTCAAAACTGTATTATAACTTCTGAAGAATTTAACTCAGGTCTTCTTGCCTTTTTTTCTAGGGTGATTCTGGTGGACCTCTGATCTGCAAAAACAAGCTCCAGGGAATAACTGCTTTTACTGCTGCAGACCAATGTGACAATCCAAAGTTCCCACACGTATTTACTAAAGTTAATTTCTTTCTTCCCTGGATCAAAAAGACGATGCAGGAATAAGACCAGTGTTGTACCCATTTGATTTTCTTTTACATAAAACAAAAAGCTGTGACAACCCTTCATTGCACTGTTTGAAAACTCTTGTTTCAGAAAAAAACTAACAATATTGTTAGAATCTACAATAAAGCCACATTCCTAAGTAAGTTTCTTTATTCTTTGAAAGAGCTCTACACTTCAATGAAAGTTTCAGCATTTATTTCTTACTCATCCACTTATAGAAAAGAGTAACCACAGGGTTGTTATCTGTGAGTACCACGGCAAAGACCCAACCACAAACTCCCTCACACAAAACAATGTTCATAGGTACATGCTGCCGCAACCACCGGTGACCTCTCTACGAGGAGGATGCAGGCATTAACTATGCTGCTCAATGAAGAAACACATCTGAGAAAGCCTTTCAAGTTTACAGAATCGCTAAGAAAAAACGTTTAACCCAAAACTAAAGATTCCAGAACACATCAATGATGCTACGGCAGGCCGGTGGGAATAAATCATCATTCACACAACTGGTATTCAGAGAAAGTCTCAGTTTGTCCCATGAGTTCTAAAACAGCAAGTAAATGAATAAATGCATACCAATACATTGATGTTTTCTTTCCCTGATTATTCAAAATAAATTAAAATGGTGAGAAAAACTTCGTAGTAATGCAATGCTAAAACTTAGCTTGATTCTGAAATTTTTGAGGGTTTTTTAATAATCATTTTTTGCCACCAATAATGCAAATTTAATTGGGAGATTTCTGCTTCTTGGTCTGAATACTTTCAGTCTGAAACCAAACGGTAGCGTACAGACTCTGACTTGTGACATTTTGATCAACTTTAAATGGAAAAAGGGTGGAGAGGCATAGAAGACCAGTTTCTTTCTAGTTCAAGGTAAAGCTATATGTCCGTGGTTATTTGGGGAGCCATGTCATCTCCTGTGCTACATTCTTTTTTTATTGAGTCCAAAGTTTCTTCTCTCTGCTCAGAAGTTTGATGGAGGTGCGGAATAAGTAATCCAGCATTACTTGCAAAGCCACCCGTACCCGGTCCAATGACCATATGGAATCACTCTGCTTGATTTTAAAGTTAACTCATCTAAACCACATTCTAACTGATTAGCATAAGTCAACAAAAATAAGATAAAAGCACTATGGCAGGCCCTAAGAAGTGTGTAAGGCCTTATAGACTTAGTGAAAGTAAACCGTCTCACACAGGAAGAGATTGTGTCGCTGTAAACAATGTAGCGCGACATGATCTGGGCTTGGGTTGCATTTCCTTTTGTATTTATATTAAAAAGACGAGGTGATTTTTGAAACGTTCAGCTGCTGTGGTAGTTTAACCACCAAATCTTCAATAACTGAACATAGTTTTTAATATGCAGCCTTGACATTCCAACTATTTGGATGTAATATACTAATTTGTATAAGTTCATATTTGTGTGAGGTCTATTTGCCTCTTACTGAAGAGAAAACATTTTCATGTTTTCCCCTATATTAAAATGCTACCGCAAAAGAGAAATAAAATCTTTTTGACCAAGACAAAATGCCCCCACAGGATAGAAAGTTGGTGGTTTAAAGTTGTGGTTTCAGTTTCTATGCTGAGTAGGTTAGTCAGCTGAGACACATCGTTGTATATTAAAGTCAAACACCAGAAAAAAAGCCCTAAATCAGAGAACTGTCTAATGCAGAAAGTATAACCTTTAAGACGCATACTATACGTCCAAAAAATGAACAAAAATGCTTATTAATTAAATTACATATTAGTCAAAAATACACGCAGCAGGAAAAAAAACTCAGTTTAGTCATTTCCTGACCATTTATATGATTGTAAAATAGCACTGCTGCATAAAGCAACAGCAAAGGTATGTGTGATACAGGTTCCACTCATGCATCAACCTTTTTAACACCTCCCCACCAGTCGGTGTTTCCGTTTGTGAGTTTTGAGGCTGAGTACAAAAGGTGTTGAGGGGGCTCTGCAAGCCAGGCTCTTCATCCTTTCTCTGCAACCATGCTACAGGCTACTAGCATCATTTACGTCCTTCTGCTCGTCAACTTCAGTGGTAAGAGTAGATCTTGTTTTTTTTTAAATGAGAACTTTTAAGTTACAGATTTTTGTTCCCAATTTTCAAATGTCCATTTTGGATTTTCTGTTTAAGTAGCCAGAAAAAGAAAATTGTTTGCCTGATATGAGGTTTAATTTGACTGAACTTTCACTCTTAAAGGGGCAGCTGAGTATGGCATAACAGGTGGCAAAGTTGCAAAACCACATTCCAGGCCCTACATGGCGTCTCTCCAGATTCAAGGACATCATGTATGTGGTGGGATGCTTATTCGGAAGGACTATGTTCTAACCGCAGCACACTGCAAAGAGTGAGTGTGTGTGGTAACGTTAAAAAATGTGCATATTACAACAAATTAACATAAAATTACTGTTTAACTTTAAGAATAAACCAATAAAGAAATTAAACATGAATTCTAAGGCATTTGTGCTTAAAGTACATCTTTTTCATTATTAGCTGTTACAAAGACATCACGGTCGTCCTTGGTGCTCATAACATCAGCAAGAAGGAGGAAAGCCAACAAAGGATTAACGTGAAGAAGTACCATGTACATCCACAATTTGAAGCCAACCAGTATGAGTATGACATTATGCTCCTTAAGGTAACCTCCATTTATACAATTTGTCCTCATTGAAAATTTTGCCTTGTCAAATATTTCAGGTACTTCATTTATAATTAACAGTTAGGCCAAATACTGTGCATCAGAAACACACAATTCCAAGTAACATTGTGTTTATTCCTCATGACAATTTATTTTGTGAAATGAACCAGTTCATCCAGAGGCAAACTACACCAACATGATGCAGCCATCCCGTATTTTACTGTCGATATAATCGTCTTGGACACGTTTGTCAATGTGGAGCAATTTCTACAAAAGTCTAAATACCACTTAAACTTGGCAGAAAACATTTAGGTGTTTGCTAGAAATCTGAGCTGTTGATTTTTTTTTCTGCATCAGTGACACTCCAAGCAAGTTAAAATAAATTTAAAAAAAAGACTTTCACTTCAGAAAATTTAAGTCTTACAGTCCAAAACTAAATCTGACACAAAAAAAGATCTGTGGAAAAAAAGAGATGCCCTTGCGGTCTAAAAATCTTGAAGGGAGACAGTCTTAACCTGTAACCGGGGTTGCTGGTTGAAACCCCTGCTCCATTTGTCTGTCGTTTTGTCCTTGGGCAAGACACCTCACCCGCTTTGCCTGCTGCTTGTGGTCAGAGGGCCTGGTGGCGCCGGTGCAGAGGAGCCTTGCTTATGCCCGACTGCCCCAGAGCAGCCGTGGTTACAACATAGCGGCTTGCCACCATCAGTATGTGAATGAGTAAAAGACTGAATGAAATGTAAAGCAACCCCAAAGAGTACTGAACAGGCCACGTACCATTTAACTTATGCAAGAGAGAATGTTAAAATATTGCAAAGTCAAGATGTAGGATGCTAAAAGACTTGCATCAAAGAAGACTGAATGCTAACATTGAAACAAAAGGTACCCAACAAAGCACGAGTTGAACAGTATGCGATTTTTATTTTGTAATTTTTTTTTCCTCCAACAGATGCATCTGTCAAATAAAAGGTGAACAATGTTTCCAAATGTTCAAAAAAATTATCAAATCCTTTGATGCTTAAATCTGGCGGTGTGTACACTTCTAAAATCCACAGTAATCACATAATTGTGCTGCACAATTTTTTAATACAAACCAGCTTAAAAGCGGGAACATTTTTAGAAATGACAAAGAACAATTTTTTGATTTTACAGTAATTCTAATTAGACTGCTTTTCTTCTCCACAATATATTCTTCTCTCAACAGTTGGAAAAAAATGCCAAAGTCAACAACAATGTAAAGACAATTGATTTAGCAACAAAAAACGAGGACATTCCTGCCAACACAAATTGTGAAGTGGCTGGCTGGGGAAAAACTGGACCAACCAAACCCATTTCAGATGTTCTGATGGAGACCACAGAGAGTATCCAATTCAGCTTTGAGTGTAAACATATCTGGAAAACGTATTTCAATTCCACACATATGATCTGCACCAAGTTCAACAAAAAGACGGGAGGAATATGTCAGGTAATCAAGGAATACATACCATGAATGAAAATATGAAAAACAAAGCATCTCACTGGAAAAGAAGAGCTGGTTCCTTGGAAAACCTAATCAAGTCTTTTTCTCGTCTCTTTTAGGGAGATTCTGGGGGACCTCTTATTTGCAACAGCAGGGTTCAAGGAATAGCTGCTTTTACTCTAGAAAAACAATGTGATGACCCAAAGCATCCACATGTTTTCACTAAAGTCCGTTCCTTTCTGCAGTGGATCAAAAATGTGATGAAAGGCTGAATCAACCTCATTTAACGGAAAGTTTAGTCAAATCTACGTGTCGAAACCTGATAGAAGTGTTTTGTTTGTGGACAAGATGATTTGCTGATGACAGAAAAAAAAAATCAAGTAGTTTATTTAACATAAAAATATACTCCCTAATAATCTTGCATATTATCTGTAAAAGATTTATTCCCAATTTACATTAAATTTCTTTTTGAGTTCACACTTAGGTCAAAAGTATATAAAATAGCAGAAAGAGGCGGAGGTGAGGTTGTTTATGTTGTTAAGGCTGGTCTCCAACATGTCAGCCAACAGAAGAAAACCACAGACCACTGCTGTTGCATTCATGGAACTCAGTCATAGTGCAAACTTTTGAAGTTGAACCTTTTTCTGTCAGTAAAGCCTGTCATCTGCAAGGAAATGAAAGGAAAGGAAAGTTCAGAGATGGTCATTTCATTTCACACTTCAGTCTGCATTTGTACCTATATTCTATTTAAACTGTGACACATTCAGTTTAAAATGTTTTAGTGTCAAAAGCAAACAAAACTCACCTGACTTGAATCTCTGGTGAAATATCTCTTCTCTATTACCTACCAAAAGTCATAAGATTTTTCAGATTACTACAAAACATGACAAATAAAGAAAACTTCATTATTTTTGATTTAAACATTATCTTTTAAAAAAGTTACAATGTATATTTGTCTAATTGGGTTTCAGTTTCACTTTGTCTGGAGACCACCAAAACAGAGACACTGCAAGTAGCTTTAAAACAGAGATGTTTGTGACATTTGTGATCCACCAGACTGTCCTAAAATTCATAAAACATTGCATTGCACTATCCAGGTTCCTCACCTTATCAAAGAAACGGCTAAGTTTCACAGCATTTGACGTGCCTGCAGCAAAGTATCTCGGGTTTGTGCAGTCCTGGGAAAACATGATAATTTTCAGCTTTTTTTTCTGAGGTGGTAAACCACTGTGTTTGTTTCCACATGCAGGGGATTTTGGTAAGAAAGACAAAGAGAGTTGTGGAGAGCCCCCCTGCTGGAGTTCCTTTGTATTTGTTTTATGCTCATGATATTGACTGATTTAGAATTAATGATTCAGATTGGGCTAAATTTAATACTATTGTTTTACGTAGTATTAAATATTGTTATAACACAGCATTAGTTTCAGGTCAACAACTGATGGTGGGAAATTCTATCCTATGATTTTCTGCTAGAAAGCAGAATTCATAAATTCCAGCCCATGTCTGACTTTAGATCTGGACCTGGAGTACAGCACAGTCATCCTATCAGCTTCAGGCCTTGTGCTATTCTTTCTTTCCTTCTTGATTGTACAGGTCTATTCAAGACCTGTAGAAATCAAGTAATCAAGCGTGGGAGTGGCTAGTGAAATTGAGCTCAGAGAGAACCCACGAATGCACAGAGAGAACATGCAAACTCCACGCAGAAAAACCCCAGGTCGGGAATCGAACCCAGGACCTTCTTGCTGCAAGGCTACGGTGCTACATACTTCGCCAGTGTGCAGCCAAAAGCGTTGTTAAACACAGTAAATTATGGCTTTACCAAGGGGTACAACTGCTTTTCTATATAAAGGGTAGGTTGGTTTTTGATATAATTTTTTAAATAATAAATAATGAATTTGTAATAAATAATTTGTAAAACTGAATTTACTCAGGTATCTTTGTCTGATTGTAAGTTTTGTTTGATGATCTCAAAACATTTAAATGCGACAAAAGAGGAAAAAAAAGAAATGTGTGGGGTGGAGAAACATTTCTCAGCACTCTACGGTAAACTGAATCATAAACCAACAAACATGTGAAATATTACCTTTGTTTAACAAACAAGGCAGTTTTTCTAACATCGACTTTTCAAAGTTCAGTTAAAAAAAGAAACTTACGAGATTGATCTCCTCTGCATTAAAATCTTCAGAAAGGAAGGCCGTCCTAGTGAGAACTTCACTGCGTTTGTTCTCTGGAATCTGGTCAAACTTTGTTCCAATCAGCAGCAAAGGCACTGCGTTCTCAACAAACTGTTCTCTGTCATAGTCACTGCATTTACATGGACATACAAAAAGAAGTAGTTCAGGTCACATGAGTTGTAGCTTTTTGCATCCATAAAGGTTTAGAAAATATTTTGCTGATGAAAGCCAACCCATTTGAGACAATGACGCCTGTTGGGGAGGAATCCTTATTCAAAGCTTCCATTGACCAGCGGTAGAGATTTTGGGAAGATTTCTTATTTGTTAAATCATGTACCAATATTATTCCTACAAGATATAAAATAAAGTCACTTCAATAAGATTTGAGAGCTTCGACCTAGATACAAATCGTTATTTTTATTTTATTTTACCATTTACTGAATTGTAGAAGACTGCTCTGGTGCTTTTGATACTACTGGCACTGCCAACTGATCCTCCAATGTCCCATAGTTCAATGTAGAAGGTTTTCTCCTCAGGTGTTCCTTCTTTGTAATCTTGAACCTGTAATTGAAGTAGATATGAAGTGATATGATGGCACTTTAGGCAATAAAATATGAATCAGTCATTAGGAGGTGTGTCTGACTACAAAAGCCCACATTATGGCAGATGGAATAGTTTTCAGAATTATTGCTTAGTCATGATTTGGCAACATGGAATTACATTTTAATATGTGTGCATATTTTTATATTAAATTCCACGGCATCCTGATGAATAACAATAATGACTATGCATGGTAAATAGATTTTTGTTTAAAGTTGTGCAGCATTTTCCAAATAAATGGCAAACCAATTACATCTGACAACAGTAACAGAATCATTTCCTTTCATTAATGATGTGACATGTTTGCAGTGCTTACCCTTACATCCACAGAGCAGCCAACAGTCCAAGATGGATTTCCAAAAACCTGATTCTGACATATTAAATGGACTAAGGAAGATTTGCCTACCCCTGTAAATGATTAAAAAATATATATATAGAAAGGTTCACTGAAACGATTTTATGTGAAATGTATGCTTATATAACAATTCCTGAGCACAACAATCTGGGAGAGCTTGTCTTTTAGTGATGCTTGGTATTTGCAATTCCCTTTCGTTCAAGAATACAAACAGATTCGTTTACCTGCGTTGTATACAGAGCATAATTTTTCACAACAGGAAGTCAGGTAAAGTCTGTATGCCTGGAACAAAGACTCTGTGCAAACTATGACACAGAAGTCTTTATTTTTATATCAGTTCAAAACAGAGCTTCGCTACGTTTCCTTTTGATGCGCCAGTGGAGTTGAGCTTACTTATACAAGATAATAATATGGCTAGTACTACATTTATCTACATTTGCAACATCCACAAGTGTCATTGTTTTTTTCTGTTAATGCGTCAGGATTTCATAGCTGCAAAACAGATTTGCAGTTATAGTTTGTAGGCTCTTAATCAAGATATGGTTTTCACACCACCGAAACTAAGTCTGGATTAAAAGAAAACCAATGATAAAAAGTAGGTACATATATATTTGTTGTCATTCGTAAAATAAAAATAGAGCGTAGCTTACCAGAATCTCCTAAAACTAACACTTTTACCCTGTCAAGAGAAGCCATTTCTGATGACGACGAGTACCGGAAGAACAACAAGTTATCCCCGCCTTGAAGATAATTTTATCTACGCTGATTGGTTAATTCCAAAAAACCTTTCCGCCCAGTGCCATTTCTGCCCAATAGGAATTTAGTAAGAGCAGGTCTATAGTTTTACTTCCGGAGTTACCCTCTCAAGATAATTCTTGCAGCACATTAGCTAAACTTAGCAACTGAAACATTCGGAAGTGTAGAAGAATGCTGATTGATTAAAACGTTTTTGTCTGACGATATGATCGAGTAACTTTAATCTCAAATGGCTTAAATTAGCGTTTCGATCTGTGTTACTGGTGAAACAGGAAGAGTAACGGGTAAGAGGCTAACGAACTTTTAGAAATGTAGTTAGCATGAGGTAAACTCTTATAGCTTGTTTAAATGTGTATAGATATTTATAAGCAAACTGTTGTGTGTAAAGACTATGTTATCAAGGGCTTGTCATTTAAAGACGAATATCTCGACCAAATTCCTACAAATGTTTGTTCCTTTGTTACTTAGCTTAAATGACGCTCAGGTAAATTGTGATGACTTTGTTGCTGGTATTGTCTATTTAAAATTAGCCATTATTTTGTGTATGTTTAGAAACTGAATCTGTAAATAAGTTGGTCAAAATATCCAATCTTCTCTGCTGGCAGTTTTCCCCCTTTTTGTGTTTTTGCAGTCTCCGGTATTCATTATTCCTTCAAATACTGAAGCACCTTTACTATTACATACAACTTTCCCTCTCGAATAAAAAGAAAACGTCACATGAGTAAATGAAACCTGTGGAAGTGTAAATTGTATGTCTTTAAGTAAAAAAAAAAAAAGTCATAATATTTAAAACCAGATATTGATTGCTTAAATTTACTTTATAAAGATATGAACATGGATAAAATAAATTTTATAAACAGTGTTCCAATTTTCCAGTGTACTTCCAAAGCCGTACAATTTACAGTATGAATTCAGATTTTTGCCATATCTAGTTGTTGATAAAAATGGAAAGAAAATAAATCATGCTTAAGCATTTATTCTTCAAAGATCTTTTTTTTATTAATTATTAATCGTGCTTCCTTTCTTCCTTTTTTATTTTATTAGATGGGTCTGAACTTTTTTATAGTTATGTTTCTTTCTCCACAGCTAAAAATGATTGAACCTGAGGTACTAACCGAAGTCCCTGCGTCTCTGAAGCGGCTGGCTAAGCAAGTTGTAAGGGGTTTTTATGGAGTAGAACATGCCTTGGCTCTGGACGTGCTGATACGTAACCCATGTGTCCGAGAAGAGGACATGCTGGAGCTGCTGAAGTTTGACCGGAAACAGCTGCGCTCTGTGCTCAACACCCTGAAGGCGGACAAGTTTGTCAAGTGCCGTATGAGAGTGGAGACAGCCCCTGATGGGAAGACGACACGTCACAACTACTATTTCATTAACTACAGGTTTGTTTATATTCATTTGTTTATGGATCTCACTCTGCAGTTTAACTAAGATCCATTTAATTGCACATAAACTACAAAACAGGTTTTCGTTTTGCTTAGAGTGCTGGTTAACGTTGTAAAGTACAAATTGGACCACATGCGACGTCGCATTGAGACAGACGAACGGGACTCCACCAGCCGCGCCTCCTTCAGATGCCCCTGCTGCTTCTCCACTTTCACTGACCTGGAGGCCAATCAGCTTTTTGATCACATGACTGGTAAATACTTGACACAAAGCAGTTTTCCTGAAACACTTCCTGCCTTTTTCTTATTACACTTAAAAGGCAAAAAGTAGTTGGACAGTTTGGGGAAACGCAGATATCAAAATCTCATGCACCATTTTGCATTCCTTCCTACAGAGCAGGGTTTTGACAATAATTGATATTTAGATATAATTGGTACTAGAAGAGATCTATGCTCCAAGACACTCCATCAAAATTGATTCACAGTTTTTTTTTGTTTCATGCAGCTTAATTGGCCTCTAGATGGCAGTGAAAGCACATGTTGAAAAATGATTTGTACTAATGGAATTATTTACTATATCAGTGAACCTGCATTTCTTACATTAAAATGTTTAATCATATTTAAATGGCTATGAACTCTTTCAGAGATAATTCCATGAAACCCACACTATTCTCTTCAGTATATTTTCTGTACATTGTTGCTTAGTTCCTGCTTCCTGAGTGGCTCATCGCCAAGTCCTTCAACACAGACCAGTTCAAACAATTTCTTTTTTTTTTAAATTACCATATATTATTTTTTAAGTTGTATTGTTTCTGTTGGAATTGGGTTTTGCCCATAAAGCTTCACACTTACATTTTAGCAAATACAATTATCAGCTGCTTAATATTAGACAAATCTAATTTCCTGGTGTTGGCCATACATCCACCCCTCTCCCTTGATGCCAAATTATTTTCAGAAAGAGTAGCAGACAAATTATTTCACGGTGAAATGTGATAAATGGTAAATCACATTTTACCAGATACTCCTGAAGAAAGTCAACAAAATATTAGCAAAAATGAAAAACAAGAATGCATAAAACTAAATATTACTGTAGATTAAACCACATTAGCATTCACATTTTGCAGCTCCTATGGCAGATAAGGAAGAAACACGCAGACAAAAAGAAACATGTAATGAGTTCAAAGCATTTCAAACTGAACCTCACCATGGCTTTTCAGCCAGCAAAACGATTTAACTGAGAAAATAATGAACACATCAGCTATCTTTCTAACAGTAACAGCATGCATTTCTGCAGAGGGTGAACACAAGATTCACTTTTCCTTCTTAACCGTCATGTGGCGACTGACTTTTATCCTACAGTATCCTCTCAATTTCTGAGCATTTTCTGAATTAGTTACTGTTGTAAAGGGAAGTTATTCTACCACCCGAAGGAAGCTGTTTAAAATCAAGTAGCCAGATCTCATAATAGTCGGATGGACTGGTAGCCTCTGCGGGGCCAGCAACACTCAGTGGGATCCCATAGGGATAGGAAATGACAGTGCTGGACTTTCAGTTCAATCTCAGCCTGACCCTCAGAGAAGAGCCAGAACCCTGCAGCTTGAGCAAAACACATCTCTTTTTTTTCCCTTTCCTTGTCAGTTGCCTCCTTTTAGATTATTTCTTTTTGATTCAACTTAGAGAAATATCAGCATCTTTACCGTTTTGCAGCTGCTTCTTTGGTCTTGACATCATGACAGGAAGTAATCACATCTATAGACATCCACCTGGTCATTAACAACAGTTTTTTTTTCTACTTATTTCTTTAAGCGGTCATTTTTCTCTCTGCCTCAAGCCCAAAATGAGCATTCTTTGTTTTGCTCCATCCCTGATGCACACAAAGGGCTAAAAGCAGACATGAGGTCTGTGCTAATGTTGGAATGCCTCCAGTTATTGAAACTGAGATCAGGAAGAGAAGCAGATGGTCAGACACATCCTTCTCTTACTGTTTGGAGGCAAGGGGTGAGGTGCACTGCATCCAATTTCCGACAGCCCTCAGAAATATAATTTAACGTTTTTAAAATTATTACCCCTCTCCCAACCAACAACAACAAAAAAAAATCCACTCTGGGAAAAAAAAAAAAAAATCTGGTTGCCTAGGTTACCTGCCGTGTATTTTCTCTGCACATTGTCTTCACAGTCGAGGATGAGTTAGTGTTTACCTGATAGTGTGCGAGTTCCACCGAGTCAGAGTGCACACAGAAAGCAATTTAAATTCAGTTTTTGTTGTGCAGAGAAACAAATGGCAAAATATAGTTTGTAACTCTACAAACAGAGCTTGGAGACTTTTTGGAGTACAGATTCTCCATGCTCATTCTTCCTAGATCTGTTTCATAGGTGCTGCAGTCACAGGTCACTGAGCATTTTCAGAATCTAAAACACCGAGAGATATTTTAGCTATTCCCTATATTTGGTAAAATACTGAACCAGTGCCAAGATTACTCTCTACATTTTTGCTAAAGATGCACCAATGATCCCTGAAGAACCTATATGAATAAAACCTTTTATTGTTGTGGAGTGATACTAGATGTTTGTTCTGGTAGCTGAACAGAAATGTATATTTTAGCAGGTGTGGTCATTTCAGTCCTATTCCATTTTGCAGTTTTTTCTGTTCAGAGTAGGAGCAGGACTATTAGTCATACTTTCCTTTGGGACTCTGTCAAAATTAAATGGCATGGTAGATAATTGACCTGGAGTCGACAGAAAGTCTGAGTGTTTTACAGCAAAAATACTTTTGGACTTTCAATCTCTGCATGTCGTTGAATGTGCTGGATTTGGAAACATTGGGGGTGTTTTGGTGTCTGCCTGACCTTAGATCTACACAGTGATGGTGTCATTTATTGCTTACAATAAATTAGGTCGTCACCGTGCAAAAAAAAAAAAAAAAAAATCAAGTAACCTTGGAAAAAACATCAATATCATTTCTGATGATCACTGCAGACCAATAAACGGGCAAATCAGAAACCCATTGGACAAAAAAGAAAGATTCACTTGCAAAACTGGGGGACATCTCTAATTATTGCTCTTGTTTCAGGTGTTTCAGTTTTTGTATGTTTTTATGTAAGATTCTTTTTTTTTTTATAGCTATTAGCATGCTCATCTATGTTAGATCCCAGAAAAACGCCATGGATGTTTTAATTAATGAAACATCTGCACTTTATGTACAATGGATACACCAATAATGCCAAGCACATTGTCATGCATCAGTTAGATGTTACAGTGGCTTCCATGAAATGCAATTTCTTGTTTTAATTCTGTTTTCTGCTTCACTCTGAGTTCTTTGATTCCCTGCAGCTACGTTTCGCTGCACCTTTTGTCAGACTGAGGTAGAAGAAGATGAATCGGTCTGCCCTGATGCCAGGACACTTGTGGCCCGCTTTAATGAGCAAATCGAGCCCATCTACGCACTCCTACGCGAAACCGAAGATATTAACTTGTCCCATGACCTGCTGGAGCCGGAGCCCACCGAGATCCCCGCTCTCAAGCAGAGGTCCGTTCGAAACAAGTCTCACAGCAACACACCACTTACCGCCTCAGGCAGGGAGTGGATTGTAGCTCACCTTTGTATTTATTCA